TCAGTGAGTCTATGGTGCAGTGTTGAGTCTATGGTGCAGTGTTGAGTATGGTGCAGTGTTGAGTCTATGGTGCAGTGTTGAGTCTATGGTGCAGTGTTGAGTCTATGGGCAGTGTTGAGTCTATGGTGCAGTGTTGAGTCTATGGTGCAGTGTTGAGTCTATGGTGCAGTGTTGAGTCTATGGTGCAGTGTTGAGTCTATGGTGCAGTGTTGAGTCTATGGGCAGTGTTGAGTATGGTGCAGTGTTGAGTCTATGGTGCAGTGTTGAGTCTATGGTGCAGTGTTGAGTCTATGGTGCAGTGTTGAGTCTATGGTGCAGTGTTGAGTCTATGGTGCAGTGTTGAGTCTATGGGCAGTGTTGAGTCTATGGTGCAGTGTTGAGTCTATGGGCAGTGTTGAGTCTAGTGTGAGTCTATGGTGCAGTCGTTGAGTCTATGGTGCCATGTTGAGTCTTATGGTGCAGTGTTGAGTCTTATGGTGCAGTGCTTGAGTCTATGGTGCAGTGTTGAGTCTATGGTTGCAGTGCTGAGTCTATGGTGACAGTGCTTGAGTCTATGGTTGCAGTGCTTGAGTCTATGGTGCAGTGTTGAGTCTATGGTGCAGTGTTGAGTCTATGGTGCAGTGTTGAGTCTATGGTGCAGTTGCTGAGTCTATGGTGCAGTGTTGAGTCTATGGTGCAGTGTGGAGTCTATGGTGCAGGTTGAGTCTATGGTGCAGTGTTGAGTCTATGGTGCAGTGCTGAGTCTATGGGCAGTGTGAGTCTATGTGCAGTGGAGTCTATGGTGCAGTGCTGAGTCTATGGTGCAGTGCTGAGTCTATGGTGCAGTGTTGAGTCTATGGTGCAGTGTTGAGTCTATGGTGCAGTGTGAGTCTATGGTGCAGTGTTGAGTCTATGGTGCAGTGTTGAGTCTATGTGCAAGTGCTGAGTCTGGCAGTTGCTGAGTCTATGGTGCAGTGCTTGAGTCTATGGTGCAGTGTTGAGTCTATGGTGCAGTGCTGAGTCTATGGTGCAGTGCTGAGTCTTGGTGCAGTGTTGAGTCTATGGTGCAGTGTTGAGTCTATGGTGCAGTGTGAGTCTATGGTGCAAGTGCTGAGTCTATGGTGCAGTGTTGAGTCTATGGTGCAGTGCTTGAGTATGGTGCAGTGCTTGAGTCTATGGTGCAGTGTTGAGTCTATGGTGCAGTGCTGAGTCTATGGTGCAGTGCTGAGTCTATGGTGCAGTGCTTGAGTCTATGGTGCAGTGTTGAGTCTATGGTGCAGTGCTTGAGTCTATGGTTGCAGTGTTGAGTCTATGGTTGCAGTGTTGAGTCTATGGTGCAGTGTGAGCTCTATGGTGCAGTGTTGAGCCTATGGTGCAGTGCTGAGTCTATGGTGCAGTGTTGAGTCTATGGTGCAGTCTGAGTCTATGGTGCAGTGTTGAGTATGGTGCAGTGTTGAGTATGGTGCAGGTTGAGTCTATGGTGCAGTGTTGAGTCTATGGTGCAGTGTTGAGTCTATGGTGCAGGTTTGAGTATGGTGCAGTGTTGAGTCTATGGTGCAGTGTTGAGTCTATGGTGCAGTGTTGAGTCTATGGGCAGTGTTGAGTCATGGTGCAGTGTTGAGTATGGTGCAGTGCTGAGTCTATGGTGCAAGTGTTGAGTCTATGGTGCAGTGTGAGTCTATGGTGCAGTGTTGAGTCTATGGTGCAGTGTTGAGTCTATGGTGCAGTGTTGAGTCTATGGGCAGTGTTGAGTCTATGGTGCAGTGTTGAGTCTATGGGCAGTGTTGAGTCTATGGTGCAGTGTTGAGTATATGGTGCAGTGTTGAGTCTATGGGCAGTGTTGAGTCTATGGTGCAGTGTTGAGTCTATGGGCAGTGTGAGTCTATGGTGCAGTGTGAGTCTATGGTGCAGTGTGAGTCTATGGTGCAGAGTTGAGTCTATGGTGCAGTGTGAGTCTATGGTGCAGTGTTGAGTCTATGGTGCAGTGTTGAGTCTATGGTGCAGTGTTGAGTCTATGGGCAGTGTTGAGTCTATGGTGCAGTGTGAGTCTATGGTGCAGTGTTGAGTCTATGGTGCAGTGTTGAGTCTATGGTGCAGTGTTGAGTCTATGGTGCAGTGTTGAGTCTATGGTGCAGTGTTGAGTCTATGGTGCAGTGTTGAGTCTATGGGCAGGTTGAGTCTATGGTGCAGTGTTGAGTCTATGGTGCAGTGTTGAGTCTATGGTGCAGTGTTGAGTCTATGGTGCAGTGTTGAGTCTATGGTGCAGTGTTGAGTCTATGGTGCAGTGTTGAGTCTATGGTGCAGTGTTGAGTCTATGGGCAGTGTTGAGTCTATGGTGCAGTGTTGAGTCTATGGTGCATGTTAGTGGCAGTGTTGAGTCTATGGTGCAGTGTTGAGTCTATGGTGCAGTGTGAGTCTATGGTGCAGTGTTGAGTCTATGGTGCAGTGTTGAGTCTATGGTGCAGTGTTGAGTCTATGGTGCAGTGTTGAGTCTATGGTGCAGTGTTGAGTCTATGGTGCAGTGTTGAGTCTATGGTGCAGTGTTGAGTCTATGGTGCAGGTTGAGTCTTGAGTCTATGGGCAGTGTTGAGTCTATGGTGCAGTGTTGAGTCTATGGGCAGTGTTGAGTCTATGGTGCAGTGTTGACGTCTGATGTCTATGGCAGTGTTGAGTTCTATGGTGCAGTGTGAGTCTATGGGCAGTGTTGAGTCTATGGTGCAGTGTTGAGTCTATGGGGTATGGCAGTGTTGAGTCTATGGTGCATGTTGAGTCTATGGGCAGTGTTGAGTCTATGGTGCAGTGTTGAGTATATGGTGGCAGTGTTGAGTCTATGGGCAGGTGAGTCTATGGTGCAGTGTTGAGTCTATGGTGCAGTGTTGAGTCTATGGTGCAGTGTTGAGTCTATGGTGCCGTGTTGAGTCTATGGGCAGTGTTGGTCTATGGTGCAGTGTTGAGTCTATGGTGCATGTGTTGAGTCTATGGGCAGTGTGAGTCTATGGTGCAGTGTTGAGTCTATGGGCAGTGTTGAGTCTATGGTGCAGTGTTGAGTCTATGGTGCAGTGTTGAGTCTATGTGCAGTGTTGAGTCTAGGTGCAGTGCTTGAGTCTATGGTGCAGTGTTGAGTCTATGGTGCAGTGCTTGAGTCTATGGTGCAGTGTTGAGTCTATGGTGCATTGTTGAGTCTATGGTTGCAGTGTTGAGTCTATGGTGCAGTGTTGAGTCTATGGTGCAGTGTTGAGTCTATGGGCAGTGTTGAGTCTATGGTGCAGTGTTGAGTCTATGGTGCAGTGTTGAGTCTATGGTGCAGTGTTGAGTCTATGGTGCAGTGTTGAGTCATGGTGCAGTGTTGAGTCTATGGGCAGTGTTGAGGTCTATGGGTGCAGTGTTGAGTCTATGGTGCAGGTTGAGTCTATGGTGCAGTGTTGAGTCTATGGTGCAGTGTTGAGTCTATGGGCAGTGTTGAGTCTACTGGTGCCGTGTTGGTCTATGGTGCAGTGTTGCAGTCTATGGTGCAGTGTTGAGTCTATGGGCAGTGTTGAGTCTATGGTGCAGTGTTGAGTCTATGGGCAGTGTTGAGTCTATGGTGCAGTGTTGAGTCTATGGTGCAGTGTTGAGTCTATGGTGCAGTGTTGAGTCTATGGGCAGTGTTGAGTCTATGGGCAGTGTTGAGGTCTATTGTGCAGTGTTGAGTCTATGGTGCAGTGTTGAGTCTATGGGCAGTACTGAGTCTATGGTGCAGGTGTGAGTCTATGGTGCAGTGCTTGAGTCTATGGTGCAGTGTTGAGTCTATGGTGCAGTGTTGAGTCTATGGTGCAGTGTTGAGTCTATGGTGCAGTGTTGAGTCTATGGTGTAGTGTTGAGGTCTATGGTGCAGTGTTGAGTCTATGGTGCAGTGTTGAGTCTATGGTGCAGTGTTGAGTCTATGGTGCAGTGTTGAGTCTATGGTGCAGTGTTGAGTCTATGGTGCAGTGTTGAGTCTATGGTGCAGTGTTGAGTCTATGGGTGCAGTGTTGAGTCTATGGGCAGTGTTGAGTCTATGGTGCAGTGTTGAGTCTATGGGCAGTGTTGAGTCTATGGTGCAGTGTTGAGTCTATGGGCAGTGTTGAGTCTATGGTGCAGTGTTGAGTCTATGGGCAGTGTTGAGTCTATGGTGCAGTGTTGAGTCTATGGTGCAGTGTTGAGTCTATGGGCAGTGTTGAGTCTATGGTGCAGTGTTGAGTCTATGGGCAGTGTTGAGTCTATGGTGCAGTGTGAGTCTATGGTGCAGTGTTGAGTCTATGGTGCAGTGTTGAGTCTATGGGCAGTGTTGAGTCTATGGTGCAGTGTTGAGTCTATGGTGCAGTGTTGAGTCTATGGTGCAGTGTTGAGTCTAAGGTGCAGTGTTGAGTCGATGGACAGTGTTGAGTCTATGGGCAGTGTTGAGTCTATGGTGCAGTGTTGAGTCTATGGTGCAGTGTTGAGTCTATGGGCAGTGTTGAGTCTATGGGCAGTGTTGAGTCTATGGTGCAGTGTTGAGTCTATGGGCAGTGTTGAGTCTAAGGTGTGGTGCAGTGCTGAGTCTATGGTGTAGTGTTGAGTCTATGGTGCAGTGTTGAGTCTAATGGTGCAGTGTTTAATTTGTGTTATTCTTGGATAGGAAAAATCGATCGTCTTTGTTTGTATTTCCCCATCATCAGTTGCCTAACTGCTGTTGACACTGAATCGATTGTTGTCTCTTCCTGCATTTTTCATCGTATTCGTTTTTTTTTAGCTTGGCTATTTCTATTATTCCCTTCTGAGCTTCTTTGCAGTACTCTGTCAGCTTCTTCAGCTCGCCTTGTCTCTCATCCGGGTCGTCGAGCGCGATCAGCCTGCCGAGGCCAGAGACGGTGTTCATGAGGTACTTGTTCGAGACGTCTACGTAGACCGTCGCCATCATGTTCACTTTGTCGGCGACTGCGTACGTCTGCATCAGCGGGGCCGAGATCATTTCTCTTAGAAATGAAAGAACCAAATCACTGTCTTCACTTTTGGTGTCCACATTGCAATTGTCAACCAAATAGTCAATATGTTGTTTCAAATTAACCTCAGTTAAATTAGAAATAATTTAAAAAAACTGGACCAGTTTTGTCCACTGTTCCTGAATCTGGCTAATTGCTTCTAATCCTTTTGCAAGTATTTCCTTTGTAGTTTCGAAATCAATCTTTTCCATCTTGTGTTTACCTATATCCTCAATGATGCGGAATACTTCCTCATTGTTTTTGATCATCTTCTCATGGGCATGTGTCTTCCATGTTTGGGTCATTTGCAGAAGTTTCTCAGAATATTCCAATTGCAATCGCCCGCTTTTTGACCCATTAGAATGTTCAGAATTAGGCAGAGTTTGTTCTGGCGTGCCAGCGGAAGTCTTCGCTTCCTCTTTGCTTTCGTAAAATTCTGTTGCCATCTTTGCGAGATTCTGCATCTGCATTGGGTCCAGCGGTTTTTTATCGTCAACCATTTCTGAACACAGCTGTATGCCGAGATTGCATATTTCAATCGCCCTTTGCTTTGGATCGCAATCTTTTTCTGCATGCAGCGCCACTACAATCTTATCAAGTTCCCGTTTTATGTATTCGCACGAGCATTGCGGATTCTGGTTACCTTCTGACTCACTATTTTCAACACTAACTAGCTTATTTATCAATTTGTAGAGAAAATCAGCTTTAGTGTAAACACTGCCCTCATAATACCTGTTATCGCAGTGAGGTGTGGATTGACTACCTGTGGCATTCGTTTCAGATTGAGGACCATTATATACTGTGCTCATGATCTGATTATAGCTACCTTTAACTCCGTCAATTAAGGCATCTGTCAAATCCTTGATATTCCATCCACTTGGCAAGTTCTTTATTGCATCCTTGTGAAACTGCATGGCTTCATGAAACTCTTTCTGCAATGCCCCCATGGACTCTTCAATTATCTTCTTTTCATCGTGCACTGCTTTGTCTTTCATATTGAGTATCTCCAAGGCCTGCGTAGAAAGAGTAACGTCCTTCTCATATTTGCCTTTCGAGGCACAGCATGCTTCCATCAGCTCCGAAGTGAGATCTCTAAGAGACGTGAATAGCTCTTCCGCATGTTTAGCCTGATCCAAGCAGCTTTTTGTGATGTCTTCAAGCTTTCGGAGTTGAATAGGCATAAACAACTTGATCAATTTTGCATCATTGTTTAAGATTTTGACTACGTTTGTGAGCGTCGTCGGGAGCATGGCTGAAAATTGTTTAATTTTATCCATGCTCGTGTGCCCAACATTGAACACATTACGCGCAGAATTAGCAACCTGCATGAGGCTGGCCCGGAATGACTTGGGGTATTTGATATGCTTGTAGCCACCTTTGGGGGCATTTTGATCTATTGCAAAGTCATGGTTGCTTGATACCACCATGAGCTGGCCGAATAAAGCAATTGTCATCGGTGCTGGGGAAAGGTAGTCTTCCCAGCTTGCATTCGATGCCAGCGTCATTTCCAGCTGTTGTCGATAGGGATCATTACTTAGAGATGAATCATCCACAGTTTTGCATGCCATGTTTTCTTTCTGGAAAGACAACAACAATCCATTGACCATCAATGAGTAACAACTGCCATTATATTTCGATTTAAAGCTTTCGTGACTGCAGGGATTCATCTTCTTGGTTCTTTCGGTAAAGTCACGTAGAAGGGAAGTAATAAATGGATAAGGCAGCAAGTGCAGCAGCAGCAGCAAGTGCAGCAGCAGCAGCAAGTGCAGCAGCAGCAGCAAGTGCAGCAGCAGCAGCAAGTGCAGCAGCAGCAGCAAGTGCAGCAGCAGCAGCAAGTGCAGCAGCAGCAGCAACTGCAGCAGCAGCAGCAACTGCAGCAGCAGCAGCAACTGCAGCAGCAGCAGTAACTGCAGCTCCCTTTGATGCTGTTAATCCTGCATAATGCACATGCATATGCAGTACTAATCACATTCCTGCATTTCCCATAAATATGCTAAATTCCTGTTGATATGCAAATTCCTTTGTCAATGCGCCCAGCTTATATATATGCTCCAAGCCCGTGTGCTGTTTCATTCAGACTCTGTCGCCTCGACGGACCTGGTTTTCACCTGAGGACGGCTGCTTGCGTTGTGGCCGAAACGTCGTGAGAATTGTTTTATTATGTTTTATTTTTATTATTTTATTACTTCCCTTCTACGTGACTTTACCGAAAGAACCAAGAAGAACTGCCATTATATGGGGACCCTGATGCCTGCTGTATATTTGGAGTTGGCATGTTCTCCCTGTGGTCGCGTGGGTTTTTCTCTGGGTCCTCCGGTTTTTCCCTCCACATTGAGAATCAACATCATGCATTTAGAGCATTTGGCTGCTATAAATGTCCACACAATGATAAGCCACTTTGTTGAGCTATCATTTGTGGCCAAGTTGTTTTTGAAAAGAGCTGTACAGCTCAGTGGGACTTACCTGGTAAAATAAAAAGAGTTCTTAGTTGGCCGATACCAGCTTACTGTATAGAGGATGGTAGAGCTTTGGCAATTGTTGGCACCGGCTCACTGCTTGGTTTACTGCCCTTGGCCACGATCGCCTGCCATCCCTCGCGCCTCTGAGTCCGGTTCTATCTCTACGGGAGCCAGCAGAATACCGCGTGCGCTCTTTACAAGTGTAGAGGTATTACGTAACGGATTGTAGCAAGCTGTTACGTTGGGGTGTCTACATCAACGTCCGTTACATTGGGGTGTCTACATCAACGTCCGCATACAGCCCTGCCCCTCGGGGGGGCAGTTGGGTATATAAGGCGGTGCGCGAGAGAGCTCGAGGCAGTCGTTGGAGCAGAAGAGCCAGTGAAGACTGAAGACCAGCTCGCTCATCACTCACTCACTCCCTCAGTCACTCACTCACACACTTAGTCGCTCACCACTCACTCACTCAGTCGCTTACCACTCACTCAGTCACTCACTCACTCAGTCACTCACTAACTCAGTCGCTCAGTCACTCAGTCACTCACCTACTAAGAGTATCAGCTAGCTAGCCTTGGGACTACCCTGACTCGCTACTCTGATAAGAGCCGAGCAGGGCAAGCCAGGGGTGACCTCAGAGCAGCGAGGTCTGTGTCCTTGTGAGGGCCAGGCTCGTGCGGCTGAGGGTCGGATCTGAGCCGAAGCTGGGCCAGGTGAGTTAGCCTCTATAGGATGGTCTGGGTTAGAGGGGTGAGGGTCGGATCTGAGCCGAAGCTGGGCCAGGTGAGTTAGCCTCCTCTATAGGATGGTCTGGGTTAGAGGGGTGTAGGAGCTAACGGGGAAACGTTAGCTGAGGGACACTGCCTCGGATAGACCGGGTGAAGGGGCCGTTACCCCTTCAAGTGTTAGGGTGCACTACGTACTGTATAGTAGCAATTGTTAATAAACACGTGTTGCCTCCGTCAACGTCTCCTGCGCTACTTACGCTCACTACACAAGGTTGAAATATATATTCCAAGGTGGTTGCAGTTATTCAAGTTATTTTGGTTGTACAGGAGCTTCAGTTGTGGTTGTAAAAGAGTTACCAGAGCATGTTTCGATGTAAAGCTTTCGTGACTGCATGGATTGATATTCTTGGTTCTTTTGGTAAAGTCACGTAGAAGGGAAATAATAAAATAATAAAAATTAAACATTATAAGATGTTTTACTTTTATTATTTTATTATACAGAGCATATTTGTTTGTTTGCGAGTTTGAAGTACGTTTGGTTAATGCAGTAAGTTGATTCCTTGCAAAATGTTATCTATTTGGCGTTTGAACATCTTATAATATCTCCTGTTTTATTACCAGAAATGGTAAAGCCTATTCTTATTTTTTATCCTGTAAAACAGTTGTCCTTTTCTCCTGTAACACTGCGTGTAGTTTTCAGAAGGGGAATTGGATGGAATGTATTAGGTGAACACACATCTGAATTGGATGTATAACGCGATCGAGCAAACAGAACTATGTCGCAGAGCCAGTAGTGTGGCACATTAGGAATGGATCACTCTTTTAAGTATGTCCTTGTGCAGCCAGGGAGTAAAGTGTGGTTCTGTGAAAGTCCTGATGTGCTGTGCAGTGCATCAATGCATGTGTGTACAGCAGCATGTGATGACTGAGTTGGGCCTGTAGGTGGCTGGCAGGGTTAATGAGTGACTGCGCGGATACACCAGCCACATGGTTAATGGCGTCTCGGAAGAATTGCTGCGTGTAACACACGTGTTGTTGCATTTTACAGAGTGACGGTGCTGTTCTTCACAAGATTAATATTAATCACAATCAACGTGCTTGCCCTCGATTTGGAGCACCTGCCCACGTCCTTCATTTCGAGTGTGCAACAGTAGGAATAAGCGGTGGTTGCAATGGCTGCGGCCTCGACACAGCATCGTTATCGTCACCACACAACGCATTGAGATGCTGCTGGATGTGGCTTATAGACGCTACCCTACACGCACTCACCTCGGTCTGTCTTCGGGCCCTGCGTTGTGCATTCATCTCATGCGTGTTATCATGGACTTGTGTTTTTACCTGCTTATGTCATGCATTTTTGTTTATGACAATGCCAGTGTAATGTCAGGATATATCCGGGTTGCTGATGGATCACACCTCGTTACGATGATTGGCTCTACCGGTCCTGGCCCATAGCCAATGGGGGGAAGTCTAGGGGCGTGGCCCTGACATAATGGGAAGGTGACATCTGTAAGTAGAGGATTGGCTCTTCTGGCTTTGGCCACAGCCAATGGGGGGACGAGTCAGGGGCGTGGTCCTGGAACGTACGATGGAGTCTAGAAGATTCCATAGAGGTTAACCAGGATTGGTGGAAAGGTACCACGTGACCCGGGTATTAAAAGGGGTGGAGACGGACAACACGTGGTCAGATCTGGAACGAACGGAGGGTGAGGCCACGCTGGAGCGGGGTCCAGGCTGCCACGTGGCCGCGCGTGTCTCTCTCTCCCTCTCACGTTGTCTGTCAGCAGCGTGAAGGAGTAAGATGGGAGTGTTGTGAACGAAAGACAAATAAAGACCGGATTCCAGAAGTCGCTTCCACGACATTTATTACACCAGCATGGCAGGGAAACTGATGGTCTCAGGCGGACTGGACCTTGGCAATGGACACTCGCTAATGGTACGTCACTGGGGGCTGGTGGGGGGAAGGGGCTGGTGGAGGAGGTGGAAAGGTATCGGACTGGACATGGTCGGTCCCGCCCCAGGTGAGAGTCCCTGGGTGGGTGTGGGGATACCCACAAGCCCTCAGGTGGGTGCTGTTCAGCTGGAGTTTGTCCCGGTGGATGAGAGGGTCGCCTCAATGAGACTTCCGGTCTCAGAAAGGACAACTCTGACCACTGTTTGTGCTTGTGCACCAAACAGCAGTTCAGAGTATTCGGCCTTCTTCTTCGAGATGGTGGGGTGCAGTGCTGGTCAGAGTATACCGACTCCACAGTTTCACTGGACGACTTAAATGCTCACATGAGACACGATGGACATACGTGGAGAGGCGTGGTTGGGAGCCGTGCCCTCCCCCATAATCTGAAACCGAACGGTGAGATGCTATTGGAATTCTGCACCAGTCACGGAATGTCAATAAGAAACACCGTGTTCCAACACAAGGATCCTCATAAGTGTACTTTGTACCAGAGCACCTTGGGCCGAAGGTCAATAATTGACTTTATAATTGTATCATTGGACCTAAGGCCGTGTGTTTTGGACACTCGGATGAAGAGGGGGGCAAACCTATCAACCGATGACCACCTGGTGGTAAGTTTGATCCGACGCTTTGGGACACCGACCAATGTGGAAGGCCCAAACGAATAGTGCGGATTTTCTGGGAACATATCTGGCTGAAGGACCAGTGCATAAATTTTTCAACTTCCACCTCCGGCAAAATTTGTTCTGCACTCCAGGGGAGGTCGTGGACGTTGAGTCCGATCAGGCGATGTTCAGGACATCGATTGTCAATGCAGCTGCGAAAAGCTATGGCCTGAAAGCAGCTGGTGCTTGTCATGGCAGCAAACCTAGGACCCGCTGGTGGACACCGGTGGTGAAGGAAGCTGTCAAGTTGAAGAAGGAGGAGGCTTTTTGAGCTGTGCCGAGAAAAAGGTCTCCCGACTCGATTGAGAGGTACCGGTTCTGGCAAACCAGCCTTAGGAGGGGTCGTCGAGATGTGGTCAGGGCTGTTCCCAGTAAGGGTAGCGGCGTAACATTGACCTCAACTAAGGAGATAGTCGAAAGGTGGAAGAAACACTTTGAGGAGCTCCTCAACCGGGTGGACATGCCATCCTCTCAAGAGGCAGCCCTGGAAACAGCTGGGGGGGGAGGGGTCACGGATCCATCGCGGCCGCTGAAGTTGCTGCGGCAGTCAAGGGCCTTCATAGCGGTGTAATGTGAGGATATATCCGGCTCACTGACGTATCATAACTCGTCACGATGATTGGCTCTGCCGGTCCTGGTCCATAGCCAATGGGAGGAAGCCTAGGGGCGTGGCCCTGACGTAATGGAAAGGTGACAGCTGTAAGTAGAGGATTGGTTCTGCTGGCTTTGGCCACAGCCAATGGGGAGACGAGTCTGGGGTGTGGTCCCG